CAGCACCTCCTTTGATTTTTGCTGCTCTCTTTTGCCTGAGTTGCCCCATATAACTGAGCCCACAGCTTGAGAGGAAAGGAAGAAGCTCACTCCTCCCAAGCTGTTTTACTGAATCACATGGGGCAAACTAGGAAGTGGGCAGATCAAGGTAAATTCCAATTTTCTTGGGGTTTTTTTATGGGGGTGGTGCTGGGGAATTAGAATCCTGCCCCATTCCCAGCTGTGCTGCAACTGGTTTCAGCACCATTCTTCTGTGGAGCCTCTGTTCACTTCCAGGACAGTCGACAGCAAGCCTGTGTAGCCGTAACGCAGCACTAAACTTGTATTTTTCATACGGGTCGGAGCCGCATTTTATGGAAATGTAGAATAAAACAGCAGAATGTGACTTGGGAGGATTAAAGTAGCTCATCTAACAGGATGAGAGTTAGACATTTAGAAATAAATCAACAAAATAATATAAGAGAACATTTTATTTCCCAATATAGCATATTTAAATTAATGTTATATGTGTTTAAAATGTCCTCAATGCAATAATGAAATTGTATTGTCAAAGGCTTTCATGGCCGGAATCACTGGGTTGTTGTAGGTTTTTTCAGGCTTTATGGTCATGTTCTAGAGGCATTCTAGAACATGGCCATATAACCCAAAAAACCTACAACAACCCAATAATGAAATTGTTGGGTTGCAGTACCTACCCTTTAAAATCAAGGGGGTAGACAGCATTTTATTTTAGCCTAAATACCCTAAGGATAACAGATCCCATCTGATCTTGGAAGCTAAACAGAGCCTTCCCTAGTTGGCACTTGGATGGGAATCACCAACACATTTTAGGTGCTGTAAACTATATTTTAGATGAAGGATTAGGGGAAAAAACACCTGAGTATTCCTTCCTTAAGAAACTCTATGAAATCCATGGAGTTGACATAAGTAAACATGTGACTTGAAGATAAAAACACAGATACACAGAAAACATTTCAGGTATCTACCAATGGGTTACGACATATTATTTTTGGGAAATACTGGCTAGGGGTGGGGTGGCAGGGTGGGGAGATTCTTTCATAGTCTAACTTACTGTGTAGTTATAGGGGAATTAACTAATTGGTCCCAAATGAGAATTCCACTCACCAATGAATTATTCTTTCAGTCCACTTTCTAGCTTTGCAAAAAGACACTGAAAACCCTTCACAACAAGAAACTATATATTTCCTGGGTTAACACTTGCTTAGTAACTTTTCCTTTTGGATGTTTAAGCTGCATTTTAAAATGCCTGGAGCAGAAAACCTACGTCACAATACATCTTGAACACACATACAGTCAACCCTCCTTATCCACAGATTCTGCATCCTCAAATTCAACTAACCTCAGTTTAAAATATTTTAAAAAGCAAACCTTGATTATGCCATTTTTATAAGGGACACCATTTTCCTATGCCATTGTATATAATGGGCTTTGAGCATCCATGGATTTTGGTATCCAAATCTCAGAAGATACTAAGGGCCCACTTTAAACAAAACTTCTCATTTTAGATTGAGACACATTCAGAAAAGAGGCAAATGATTTACAAGGCCATAAAAATCTCCAAGAGGTATGCAAAGAATGAGGAAGTGCTTCATCAGTGTCACAAATGGACGGTGAAGTGACAGCTCCCCTGGTGGCCAGAAGCTGGATTGTTAAATAGCCTCTGAGTGTCTGTCTATATATGTTGTGTGTCTATGGCATTGAATGTTTGCCATGTATATGTACATTGCCCTGAGTCCCCTGCGGGGTGGGAAGAGCGAAATATAAATACTGTAAATAAATAATAAATGTTGCTATGATGGGGGTTCAGTTTCACTTGCTAGAACTGAGATCCACCATCTCCCCAAGCCCTAGAAATCAAACATTTTATCATTAACAATTTATCATTTAAGCAGTAAATTCATTAAGAGGGAGAGATAATCAGCTTTAAATTTCAATGAGGCTTTGTGTTTCTGGTTGCACTTTAACTGGAATGGCTTCATGCTATGGAATCTTGGAAAGTGCAATTCAAAGTCTTTCGCCTTCTCTGCCAAAAACGCTCATGAGTCACCAAACTACATTGAGCCATGGCAAATAGAGGTGTCAAACTGCATTAAATCTACAATGTAGATGCACCCTATATGTTTCCTTTCCAGATACAAAAGCACAGGAGTTCCCTTAGACAAGTAGTAACAAGTTGAGTATCCCTTACCTGAGAGGCTGAGAACCAGAAGTGTTTTGGATTTTTGGGGGATTTGCATATATGTACATAATAAGGTATCTTGGAGATGCAATGGTCATTTATGTATCATATACATTTATATATATGGCCTGGTGGTAATTTTATACACAATATATTTAATAATTCTATACATGAAACAAAGTTTGTGTCCACTAAATCATCAGAAGGTGTCACTATCTCAGCCACCAATGTGGACAATTTGATTAGGGATGCTTAACAAAGACAGCTGCCTTTAGTTGTTGTATCAAGAAAAAGATGGGATAAAAATTAAGTAGTCTCAGTTATCCAACCTTCGCAGTTATCCAACCTTATCCAACATTCTGTATTATCCAACGCAGTCTGTCTCCTGCCCGGATCCACAGCTGTTTCAATACATTACAATGTTTTGGTGCTAAATTCGTACAGTAATTACTACATGTTACCATGTATTTAACTGATTTTTTTCGGTCAATGATGTTTTGATGCTTAATTTGTAAAATTATAATGTGACTTGACATTTAATAGGCTTTTCCTTAATCCCGCCTTATTATCTAATTCAAAGTATCATATACTTTGTATTGTTTTTGTATTATTATTTTCATTATATTTTATTGGTGTATTTTTTATGTTGTATATTTGTTGTAATTGTTGGGCTTAGCCTTATGTAAGCCGCCGCGAGTCCCCTTGGGAAGATAGTGGCGGGGTATAAATAAGGTTTTATTATTATTATTATTTTCACATATATGGGATAAGTGGGACTCTACTGGAATAAAAGCTCTCTCTATAAAAGTCAATGTATGTTGGTTGGTTGGCTTGTACCACAAAGGCTCCTACGTAGATCTGGACCAAATTTGGCACACATACCCTTTATTATGCAACTTAAAATAATTGAGAGACTTGTATATTTTTTAAACCCACTTCTTTCCGATCCAGAGCTGAGGAAAAGAAAAAGAACAAAGCAGATTGGCTGATGCTAAGGAAAGTGGTCCACTGTCATGTGACTGGAAAAGAAAGGGAGCGAAGGGGATTGGCTGCTGCTGAGGGACATACAGTTTGAGAGGAAGGGAGAAAGGAGAAAAGGACAAGAACAAAAAGGGAAAGAATGGAAGGGAGAAGGCAGAGAAAAAGAAAGACAAAAGGGAAGAAGGTATGAGAGGAGGGAAGGGAAGAATAAATAAGGGAAGACAAAAGAAAGTAAAGGAGGAAGGGAGGGAGGGAGGGAAGAAAGACAAGGAAGAGGAAGGAAAGAAAGAGAAAAAGAAGGGAAGGAAGGAAGGGAGAAGGAAGAGAAAAAGAAAGAAAGAAAGGGGGAAAGGATGAGAGGAGGGAAGAAAATAAGAAGGGAAAAGAAGTGAAGAAGGGAGGGAAGAAAGACAATCAGAAGAGGAAGGAAAGAAAGAGAAAAAGAATGGAAAGGAAGGGAGAAGGAAGAGAAAGAGAAATACAAAGAAAAGGGAAGAAGGCATGAGAGGAGGGAAGGGAAGAGAAAAGAAGGTAAGAAGGGAGGGAAGAATGACAGTCAGAAGAGGAAGGAAAGAAAGAGAAAAAGAAGGGGAAGGAAGGGAGGGAGAAGGAAGAAAAAGAAAAAGGGGAAGGAATGAAGGAGGAAGAAAAAAGGGAAGGAAAAAGAAAGGAGGGAGGGAGGGAAAGAAGGGAGAGGAAGGAAGAGAGGAGGAAGAGAAAAAGGAAGACAAAGAAGAGAAGAAAGTGTATGAGAGGAGGGAAGGGAAGAATAAATAAGGGAAGAGAAAAGAAGGGAGGGAAGAAAGACAATCGGAAGAGGAAGGAAAGAATGAGAAAAAGAAGGGAAAGGAAGGGAGGAGGAAGAGAAAAAGGAAGACAAAGAAAAGGGAAGAGTGTATGAGAGGAGGGAAGGGAAGAATAAATAAGGGAAGAGAAAAGAAGGTAAAAACGGAGGGAAGACAGTAGGAAGAGGAAGGAAAGAAAGAGAAAAAGAAGGGAAAGGAAGGAAGAGAGAGAGAAGAAAGACAAAAAACAAAGAAAATGGGGAAAGATATGAGGAGGGAAGAATAAATAAGGGAAGAGAAAAGAAGGTAAGAAGGGAGGGAGGGAAGAAAGACAGTCGGAAGAGAAAGGAAAGAATGAGAAAAAGAAGGGAGAGGAAGGAAGAGAGGAGGAAGAGAAAAAGGAAGACAAAGAAGAGAAGAAAGTGTATGAGAGGAGGGAAGGGAAGAATAAATAAGGGAAGAGAAAAGAAGGGAGGGAAGAAAGACAATCGGAAGAGGAAGGAAAGAATGAGAAAAAGAAGGGAAAGGAAGGGAGGAGGAAGAGAAAAAAGAAGACAAAGAAAAGGGAAGAGTGTATGAGAGGAGGGAAGGGAAGAATAAATAAGGGAAGAGAAAAGAAGGGAGGGAAGAAAGACAAGAGGAAGGAAGGAAAGAGAAAAAGAAGGGAAAGGAAGGAAGAGAGAAGAAAGACATGGAAAGGTGAAAAAGAGGGAAGGAATAAAGGGGAAGAAAAGGGGGGAGAGGTATGAAAGGGAAGGAGAGAAAGAGAAACGAAGAAGGGAGGAAAGAAGAAAAGAAGAAAGGGAGGGAAACGGAGAAAGGAAAGAACCACAAAGTAAATCCAAACCCGTGTGTATACACTAGTAAATAATAAATAACACTGTGCTTCACCCAAAGGGCAGGCCAAAGAAGGCGGGCGTCCGCTGTGGCTGGTTTCTCCTCATGACTACGCCACAGAGAAGCCACAACTCCCCTCTTTCCCTTTCCATTTCCCTTCAGGTTTAAATTTGGCGGCGACTGAGGTGGTCTCTCACCTTCCCTTCCCGCCCGCCAATCAGCCTGCCGCCCTCATGCGCGCGCGGGTCTCCTTCCGTCCCCTTCCTCTTCCTCTCTCTCTCTCTTTTGCTCAAAGCTTGGCGGGCAGCGTCTCTCTGTTTCCGTAGCAACCGCCCCGCCTCCTCACGGCGGGGGGGAAAGAGGAAGAAGGAGCGAAAAGCGACGTCACGCGCCGAAACGGAAATAGAACGTCACAGACGCCCCGCGCTTGCTTTACGGCCAAACCAAGCCCGCTTACACCGTCAACAGAGAACACAAACGCATCGGATGTAGTAAAGAGCTGGATGTAGTTAAAACAAAGCAATACAATGGGTGTAGGTGGCAGGGCAGAACAGGAAACAGTGTGGTCCCTTCATAAATTATTTATTTATTTAATTGGGTTGTAGGTTTTTTCGGGCTATATGGCCATGTTCTAAAGGCATCTATGGCAGGCATCCTCAGAGGTAGTGAGGTCTGTTGGAACTAGGAAAAAGGATTTATATATCTGTAAAATGACCAGGGTGGGACAAAGGACTCTTGTCTGCTGGAGCTAAGTGTGAATGTTTCAACTGACCACCTTGATTAGCATTTGATTTCCTGGCAGTGCCTGGAGCAATCTTTTGTTGAGAAGTTATTATATGTCCCTGATTGTTTACCCTCTGTTGTGAGCCCCCAGTGGCACAGTGGGTTAAACCCCTGTGCCGGCAGGACTGAAGACCGACAGATTGCAGGTTCGAATCCAGGGAGAGGCGGATGAGCTCCCTCTATCGGCTCCAGCTCCTCATGCGGGGACATGAGAGAAGCCTCCCACAAGGATGATAAAAACATCAAATCATCCCCTGGGCAACGTCCTTGCAGATGGCCAATTCTCTCACAACTGGAGCAACTTGCAGTTTCTCAAGTCACTCCTGACATGACCAATAATAATAATAATAATAACCTATGATCAGATCCTGGGATATAAGCACAGTGTAGATGGGGCCTCAAAGGTCCTTAGGCCTCATCTATACTGCCATATAAACCAGATTATCTGATTTGAACTGGATTATATGGCAGTGCAGACATAGACCCCTTCTACACTGCCATATAAAATCCAGATTATCTGATTTGAACTAGATTATATGGCAGTGTAGTCATATAATCCAGTTCAAATCAGGTGTGAATTATCTGATTTGAGTATCTGGATTATTTGGCAGTGTAGAAGGGGCCTCATATAATCCAATTTAAGGCAGATAACCTGGATTCAGTAACTGGATTAGATAAAAGTGTAGATCCAGCCTTAGAGGATGGTCACAAGGGTGCCGCCATGCGTTGCAGCCCATTTGATGGCAATTGGGGATCTGGGGGATTGTTTTGT